TCCGTCCCCCAGGGAGGAGGTCACATATAGTTCCTTGTAATCGGTTCCCTCTTTCCAACCCACTCTCCCTCTACCCTCCCAGTATCACCACTGACACCACTGGTCTTGTAGGGCTCATCTGCCCTGGATTCCCTGTGTTTCCAGTTCCTATTTTGCACAGAAGCTCCTAACATGATTTTTCTTATAAATAAGCTTGGAGTCAGCGTCACCTCTGAAATGTTTAACATGAATCATCCATTGACTTCTGTGCATTAAAACGTGTTCTGAAATGTCTACTGCATAACTTAAAGAAGAAAAATTATGTTTTAAAGTATGGATGAAAATTGCTATGAATTCTTAAATATTCTCCACACTCTTAATCGCCCTCACTTCTTCCATATATGTGTCTTTCCCATTTTCTCTCTTCTTTTCCACTCTTCTCACGCTGAGTTCTGGCTTTGGAGTATGCAGCTTGCTGTGTCTGTATATCTTGCACAGTCTCCGGACCAAAAGCAAAAAAGAGAAACCCACTGCCACCGAACGGATTCTGACTCATGGTGAGACAGGACAGTGAGAACAGCTTCTTTGGGTTTCCAAACCTTTAAATCTTTTAAAGCCTGAGGAATGACTGATGGGTTCAAACCACCGACTTCATGATTGGCAGCTCAATGAGTAACCAACTAGCCGCCATGGGTCCATACAGAGCTTCCCTCGGAAGTCCCTTAATACTTAATTCTTTCGCAAATAGGTCTTACTTTTTTTGGTCTTATCTTATGAATTGTTTGTCTGGATTCCTCTTATATTTAAAACTTGGATGATAAATTAGTATAACAATAGCTGAAATGGAGTGGAACACCATACCAAAGAAACTAGAGCTGATTCAGTCTATCTCGTGCACATTTCTGAATCAGTGCCCCACATAACCCCAGAGCAGGCCTGAAAAGCAAGATAACAAGAAAAAAAAGGTTTTTGTTTGGTTAGGTTATGAATTCTTTGGTCTTCCTTATTCCATGTTGAAATGACACATGCATGTGAAGCAAAGGGACATGTCATGGCCTGAGTCAGGGGCACTTTAGTTCTCAGAATAACATCCTTGTTTTTTGACACTCTAAAGCAGGGGTCCTCAAACTTTTCAAACAGGGGGCCAGTTCACTGTCCCTCAGACCCATTGGAGGGCCGGACTACAGTTTCAAAGAAAACTATGAACAAATTCCTATGCACACTGCACATATCTTATTTTGAAGTGAAAAAACAAACGGGGCAAAAACACCCGGCGGACTGGATAAATGTCCTCCGTGGGCTGCATGTGGCCCGCGGGCCGTAGTTTGAGGACGCCTGCTCCAAAGAGTGCAGCAGATTTACCCAATAAAATATATTCTTTGATCTCTTCTTCACTGTTGCTTCCATGAGCATTGCTTGTGGAACCAAGCAAGACAAACCCTTCGACAACTTCAATCTTTTCGCCATTTATCATGCTTTTACCTATTGGTCCAGTTGTGAGGATTTAGTTTCTTTACAATGAGTTCCAGTCCACACTGAAGGCTGTAATCTTTGATCTGCATCAGCACGTGCTGCCAGTCGTCCTCACTTTCAGCAAGCAAGGTGGTGGCAGCTGCATATGGCCGGTTGCTAATAAGCCTTCTTCCAATGCTGTGGCCACATTCTTCTTCAAATTCACTGACACTCGTATGTATGTAAGAAAGAGCTTTATATCAAGGAATAATTATATATCAAGAAAGGATCACAGCCCAGTCCAACTCAAGTCCATAAGTCTGGTACTAGTCCATAAGTCCCTCTTCAGACACACACAACCACATGCAGTGGTGCAGAATTCAGGAAGATCACAGGCCCGTCAGTGCAAATTTGCATGGATGTAAGGTTGGTGGAAGCATCGCAGGGCTTCCGCTGCTCTCAGGGTCAGCAAGTGGAAGGTGAAGCAGAGTGAGGGAGGGTCCCTGGGCCGTCCTTCGGAGAAGACCATGTCCACAAGGAAGCACCATGAGGCTGTGACCTGATTGACAGGTGGGCTCTCACCCCTACACATTTTACATATCTTCAAGTTGACTTAAAATTATGTAACTACCACATCATATAATCAATCTTTTGCTATTATTTGCTCAGCATCCAGATTGAGTAAGTATAGTGAGATAATACAACTCGGACACACGCTTTTTAAAATTTTAAACCACGGAGTACTCCCTTGTGCTGTTCAAACAGATAGTTTCTTGGTCTGTGTACACTGGTTCCACATGAGCACAAGGAAGCCTCCTAGAATCTCCGGTCTTCTCATTGCTATCCATAGTTTGTTGTTTCAAGGTAGGCCTGGAGAGCAAGCAATGACACCACTCAGGTACCTGTGCTCGCTGATATCTTTTTTTGAAAAAAAACAAAAACAAAACCTCTATTTCCAAGCAAGGTTCCATTCGTAGATAGTTTCAGGCTTTCAAGATATCTTGTAAAGTGGCATAGTTCAAGCTGCAGCGACACTGGACAACAGAGTGGGACTTTGCGGACATTTATGGACATATCAAGCCCAGGTCTTCCCGAGGCACCACACAAACACTCAACACCAGGCCTTTTCTTAGCAAACCCAGGCTGTTGCTGTGAGCCAAGCCCCCCTCTCACTAACCCTTCTTAATCTCATCTTCCAGGAAACGAGCGCACGCCTTGGCAACCAGATTCCAATTATAATTCAGTTTTTTCTCCTCCAAGAGAATGGAAATTGCCTGCAAAAATCCATGATGCAGATATTACAGGAAAAAGAGCACTACTCCTGGATTCTGGAAGAGCAGAGAGAGACGTCTGACAAGAGGAGGTTCCTCAAGGAAAGGATCTTCCGGCTCACACAGGCTAGGCGCACACTCAGCCAGTTCTCCATTTAGAGGAGACAACACACTGGAGGGCACTGGGGTTCTCGGGTGCTTTCCTGCTCGCATCCATTGTAAAGAGAGGTGGTGCCAGAAGCTCCTTTCCGCCTAGGGCTAGACTTTGCTGTTGCTGCCTGCATCCATCTTCTCTGTACTATGGTCACTCTAGAGCTTGTCCGTGAGGTCATCCCAGCAAGTGAGTACATGCATTTGGCTGTCTCCAGGAAGTCTTCCCTGACTACCCAGAAAAGGTGGGCAACTCTGACCTTCAGCCTCCAAAACCCATCATTATAGTATTTTCCAAAACAATGCTAACTCTTCATTCATTTCGTGTTTTCTCCATTCAGATGCTAGGACCCTGGAGAGGGCAAGGGCTCAGTCCAGTCATACTCTTCTATTGATTCCCAGACTATGCAGGCCCTGGCACACACACACACACACACACACACACACACACACACGCAGTTGATGTGGACGCAATTCTGACTCATGATGACCCTAGGTGTGTCAATAGGAAAACTGTGTTCCATAGGGTTTTGATAGCTGTGGCTTTTTTGAAGCACATTACCAGGCCTTTCTTCTTGGTGCCTCTGAGGGTGCCAAGCGCCAGCCTTTCACAGGACACATAACCAAACCAAACTCACTGCTGACAAGTTGATTCTGATTCAGAACGCCCCTCTATGGAGCAGAGGAGAACTGCTCCATTGGTTTCCAAGACTACACGTTTACAGGGCCAGACAGCCTCAACACGCTCCAGTAGAGTGGCTGGTGGGCTTGAATGGCTGATCTTGCCGATTACAGTCCAGTGGTTATCTGACAGTGCCACCAGGCCTCCACCTGGCACACAGTAATCTCGTCATCAACCCTGTGCTAAGGAATCAGTACATGGCACAACCCTGTGCCAAGGAATCGGTGGCGGAGGTGACTCCAGGCTGGAATGCTGCTTTCAGTGGTTCACGATGGCATCCCTTGGCTGCCACATTGAAGGACGCCACTTTTACCACCAACATCCCACTGGTCACTCTCATAGTGTCTCCGAATGACATGGTCTTCTTGTATTGCTTCCTGGCTGTGACAAGCTCCTATTCTTTTTTTTTTTTCAAGTGGTTTTTTTTTTAAACATTTTATTAGGGGCTCATACAACTCTTATCACAATCCATACACACATCAATTGTGTAAAGGGTATTTGTACTTCATTCTCAAAACATTTTCTCTCCACTTAAACCCCTGACATTAGGTCCTCATTTTTCCCCTCCCTCCCCGCTCCCCCCTCCCGCATGAGCCCTTGATAGTTTATAAATTGTTATTTTGTCATATC